CCCCCCCCCCCCCTCCCTTTCAATACTGCGGCTTGTAATCTGATACCGCAGATTACACTATTTCCACGTCGCAATATCTATACACACATCAGTGTCTCTACGCAGCGTACTTCCCTGTTAAGGTCAGGCTCAGATAAACTGACTATAAACAGGTTTTCTCGGAAGATGAAAATATTTATGTAAAAGTGAAAATGGCTACATGTATTTGGCAATTTTTGATGGGATCAGAGGCTACACAGCAGAAAAATAACCGCCATCATTGGTTAAAGGGATAATAACTCTTCATATGATATCTTATTTCACAATAAAAACATTGTGAACAACTCATAGAAATATAATATATTCTGTTTTACCTCAAAAACAGCAGTTATAAATATTATTCTGATATCTGAGCGTGTCTTCAGATCACGTGACTTCCATTGATGGCTGTACTCTGTTATAATCTCTTAAGAGATTTTAACAAAAAACAAAACTTTTTAGAAAAAAAACAGGGACTAACTTTGAATGTAAAAATGGATTCATTAACCATTGGTAAGTATGGGAAAATTGTTGTTTACTCCAGGAAAATTCATTTTTTTGGCCAAAACGAAGAGTTATTATCCCTTTAACTGGGTTTTGTTTTTGTGAATAATAATAATAATAATAATAATAATAATTATTATTATTATTATTGTTATTATTCTTGTAAAATTGTGCGTGTACATGAGCTCAACTGCGTGCCTGGGTGTTGACGATGACACGTTACATTTCGGTTGTACACTGGATATTATAAGGTCATAATTACTCCAAAGAGATTTAACAGAAGTCTTAATTTAAACTTTACTTCGCTTACATGTAGAAAAAGAAATATTATATTATATTGCTAGTTGAAATTTACTTTCACTCTTATCTTAACTTAATACATTATTTACATACACGTACACGTTGGCTTCGTATCCGCACCCCCCCCCCCTTTCAAATAATCCTGGATCCGCCCCTGCAGATAGGTAGATGAGTATGCATATATCGCTGTTACAGCTGTATCACCCCTTAAAAAAATTACACGGGTACAGGATTCAGGAGAGAGAAGGGGGAGGGGGGGGGGGGGCTAGCCCCGGCATAAGCATGGCAAACATGATGACATTATCATTGAACAAAATATGGCTTAGAAGGAACACAACTTGCTAAATATTCAAATAGATCTCAAAAATAACATTGGAAGCGGTTGCTTCCATTACCTCACTTATGTAACATGTAACAACCCTTTCCGCTGCACAATGTGCTGCGTTTGTTAAAACACTGGGCAGCAGGGTTGCTAACACCGCAAATATAATATTTGTGAACATTAATAAGTCATACTGATTTCGATTTCAACCTTCCTTTTCACCTTACAAAGCATACTAGCAAATCTAAAGTAAAAATGGTTGAATCTCACACGCTCGAGTCCCAGCCTGTTTACCTGCTTTGATATCTGTCAAAGCAGCTGATAAATAATTGTGTTCTTGGAAGGTGTCACATTTATCAGCTGTGCACGGATAGTGTCCCTACAAAGTTATTTTATTAAAAAGCTGACATGTAGACGTGTATGCCTACTTGATGTTATCATATAGAACTCCCATAGGTTGTGTTGAGTCAGTGTTCATGAGTGTCCTACACTTTAGGAAATGTGACACCACGGAGACATTAAAACCTTTCTTGACTTGTGGACTAAATTGTAACATATGTGCATTTTTGCTATAACTAGCTATAACGGAGCAACCAACAGAAAGGGATGACAAAGTAATATCAACATATATTTCGCCCTCACACACGCACTTGATAGACCTTTATCTGTGTTAAGCTTATAGATCGTGTCTCAGACTGTTTACCTTCTTTGATATCGGTCAAAACAGCTGATGAATAATTGTGTTCTTGAAAGGTGTCACATTTATCAGCTGTGCATGGACAGTACATGTACCTCTACAACAGTTTAGTGACTTTGGTAAAATAGCTAACATCGAGACGTGTATGCCATGGTACCCCATATACAACAGCTTGCATGCAGTCAGTTGTAATTGTGAATATTTAAAAAAAATCTTTCTCTCTCTCTCCCCTCTCTCTCTCTCTCTCTCTCTCTCTCTCTGATGACTCAGTAGTTACGCTTTATAATTTACGAGATCGACCTCGATAGGTATCTTTGCCATTGATAGACGTAACAACTGCGCTTTATCCATCTATCAAACGTGCCCTTCATCTGAATAACTCCATACAGCAAGTTATTTTTAAACCTTCCTGGAAGGGACAAATGATACCAACGTAGCGTTCAAAAACCGGGGGACGATCGACGCAATGTTTTATGTGTCGCTTGTACATACAGAATGAAATGTGGACACTTAACCTCCACCCCCGCCCCCACTCCTTGGCTCAATCCGGGAGATAAGGCAGACGCAGGTGACCTCATTGTCCGAAAGTTTTTTTTCATAGGACTTCGGATTCCCTCTGTGTCCCTCTGTGGGACTGCACTCGTTATTAAGACCAGTGCATTCTTACTTACTATATCTTATTCATATTTGGTGGGCAAGTAATTAGCAAATTTTAAATAAAATATATAAAGTGAATGTTAACTTTGCACAAAGCACATACAAAGCACACAAGCTCCTATTGTCTCCTGTGCGCACATGTTAACTTGTTGTTGTCATACGACAACTAAAACGTTAAAACAGAGCATGCATGTCTATTTAAGTGACTGAATGGGATTGAAGGTGACCCTTTTTTGCAGGGAAGGCGGGATTTGATTTGGTGGCACGGCGACGTAGTGTCACTTTTTGCTATCGCAGTACCGTCAAACTAAGAATACTGCAGTGCTTCCACTTGGCCATGTTTCGAAATGTGAACTGAAGCTCCTGCCCCCCCCCCCACCCCCCCACACACACACACACACGGACACAAACTGATCAAATCAAGATGGAGCCCACGCTCAGTACGTGTGTATTAAAAACACATCTATGAAATAGTTTTCTCATTTTTAATCTGTTGAAAGAATTCCATCAATCATAGGAGGTATCAGTGTGAACAGAATCATTAAATTTACGCTTACTAGTAGGCTACACCTTTGCGATAATTTTAGCGACAATGGGAAAACAATCTGATCGGTTTTTCCATTGTTGTTAAAGATAGCAACAAAAGCCCCGGATGACTTTTAATAAAAATCAAGTAGCATTTCAGTGTATACGCTTCCGTTTCAATCTCTAACTAAGGATGTATCACACACGTAGGCCTACACACACGCGCGCGCACGCACAAGCACATACAATTTTTGTGGGCAATCTGATTGTTTCTAAATATATTAAACTCTTGTATTTCTCACCGTCAAGAATTCTTTTTCTTACTAAGCAATACATTGTTTAGTCTAATATAGTATCTATAAGTTTTATGTTTGGAATGTGCTCATGTAAACTAAACCCTACTATAACGCTTAAACTGGGGGAATAATTTATAAACAAATGCACGAAAAAGCATGCCCATGTGCACTACTATATAAATATATTGATGTGGCCCAACGTTAACCAGACAAGCGTGCGACCTACATATACAGTCTCTGTATAGTATTTGGATTAAGTCAATATAACCCTACCACATGTACATACCCAGTATACACACTACTGGGTCGAATGACATTCATATTATATACACTGATAACAGTAAGAGGACATTGCGAGTAAGCGACTGCGGTCACTTGACAATGTCCTCATATTTATATCAGTAGGCCTATTCTTACTTACATGTACGTGTACTTAAACTTGGCTACAGATGTGTAAGACCGGTCTTCTGTATACCCACTTCTACAGCAACCATCACCACATCAAAAGAGGAGACCAGACGCTAGCGTTGAAATATTTCATGGCGATAAGCTCGGAATCCTGGCTGTTAATGCGGGGTAAGTGTTCGGTGCGAGGGTCTGGTATTTCCAACCAACCCACTCAGTTGAAATCAGTTTGAGCATGCGTTGTTCAGTATAATTGGTTGAAATGGGGATTTTTTTTACGTTGGGAAGACATTAACAGTAGCCCACATTCTATATGCCCAACTTACGTTGCAATAGCAGTTACAATTAATTTCGAGAAATATTGTGTAGATGATAAAAAAGAGCGGAATATATGATATAAATTTTATAAATTTAATCACCACTACTACAACTCTTCATGGCGTCTCTCGATCTCTACCCAGCCGTGGTCTAACTGAACGCGCTTTGGAGATTACCCGGTAAACAAAAAAGGTATAGCCAGGTTTAACTTGGGATTTACTAATAAAAAAGGTAAAAATCAAATATTCATATTAATAGATTGCAGTGACTAGGAGCTTAATTAAATTATTATCTTGCTAGAAATATAAATCAATAGGGACAGGCCTCTAATTTAAACAATGAGTTTGACGCATATTCAATCCAAATAATAACAGTAGGGCCTAATAGTAAATCAGGATTTGGCATTGATGACATTGATATGATTGATAAAAATCATATACCCCCACAGTCAGTATTTAAGACGCCCCCTCCCCTCTTTTTACATTTCGTGGAATTGGATTTTTTTGATATCTAGATGTAGGCCTATAAAATTTTTCCTCGTCAGAGTAGGCAAAATGGGGATTCCCAAGACATCAGAAGCGCATGCGCGTGTATAAAAATAGCAACACTGGAAATTTTGCTAAGGAGTAATAGGAAGTGTGAAAGAAAAAGCGCCATTGGTCTCTTATATGGACGAATTCGTCTTAGAAAGAGAGGTAATTCCATGTCAAGTGTAAGGCGTTGAATTGTTGTGTTGTAGATCGACTATCGACGCAAGGCTAAATCCTAGAAATTATCTCGAAAGATCTTGAAAGTGGCTCGGGCCTACAAATAGGTCAGTCGCTCTGTGAAGGTCGAATGCGCCTACTGATCAGGTGACTATCCGATCGTAATACAGAGTATATGGATCATAAATAACCCATGTCTTGTGCATGTTTTAAACGATAAAGCAATTTCATTTATTATATGTGTGTGTATGCTTGCTTGCTTGCTTGCTTGCTTGCTTACTGGACCCGTGCGTATATTTTTCCTTGCGGTTGTAGGCTATTTGTGCTTGAGGGATAGGGGAAAAGACATAATAAGGTAGGCTTATCCTAGCTACCTGTAGCAGACTAGGGCAAATTAACCATAACGTGCGATATGCCTGCTATTGTGAGTGTTAAATTGCATTGTTTAGGGCCTATCCACCAACCACATCCACAGGCTACGCCCCTGCTTCGCTTATTTATTTTATTATGGATAGGCCTATATAGGCCTACTGGTATCCTACTGGGTAGACCAATAGGGACCTATCTTTGATGTTAAAATACAGCATGCCTATTTACATTAATTTTAAGAAACATTCCATAAATGCGTGGTTTAGTATGCAATGAAAGAAGGGAGTTATTTAGAAAGCTATCGAGATGAATGATTAGTATGCCTACATCTCTGGTGGCTCCATGATTTTTCAAAAATCAACAGACGAGGTCAGATTAATTATATTATGAACTGGGTAGGGCCTATATGTAGGTACAGCTACGGTATTATTGTATGGTTCTGTNCTGTTTATTAGATCTTAGATTCAATGAAACGCACATACAAACGAGCGCGGGCACACACCTACACACGTAGAGATAGAGATGGGAAGGAGAAGAAGCTAGAGATGAGAAATGTCTATGACCAAATTTTCAATGTTCTTTTGTCATATTTGTACGCCACTTTGATAACTATGCAGAGAAATATTGTCTTTTGGAACTTATATTACCCGCATTCGTTATAAAATGATTTGACTAATTTATCAACATTGTTTCTTCAATGTTTTATTTTGCGAAGTCAATGTTAAAGCACCGCGGATTAAAACTGCATTTAACAGTGAAATTTTTATACATTTTTTTTTATTCTGCTAGGTTAACAATGAGGTGTCGCAGATGTCAACTGTGCAGGGCAGAAAACAGGCTTCAGTGTTGGATTGCAGCTTACGAAAGAAGGTTTTCTTCAACGTATCTCGTAGTAAGTTTTACAAAAAATATTTAGTGTCTGATTTATATTAATTATTCAAACACATCGGTTATGATATTCTGCCAACACTGTACATGCACACGGTGGTATGATTCATAATAAAATGTAACTTTCATTTAAGTTGCAGATACAGAGAGTGAACATGATGTATCCCATGATATTGAGAATTCACAGAGTCAGTCTTTCCGACCGCGTCACAATTTTCCACATATGCCATTCAATATTAGCCACCCAGAAAATACAGGTGTGCAATCATCAAATGTTTCCAGACCCCCTGGACCTGTCTTCCCATCCGCCATCTATCCAGAGGGTACCCACGGTAATCAACCATATTACGATAACATTGGTTATATGCCTCAAGGGCACCAGGGTTATCTCCAAGGATCAGCGCGCTTTCAGACCTCTCTGTCGTCGGTTCCTATCGGTGCCTTCCCAATGCAGTCCCCAGAATACGCTCCGGGGGTTCCCCATCAGTTGCAGGGAGCCATAGGTGGGCATCCATCGCAAATGATGTCCGCTACAAAAAAAGTTCAAACAAATACAACTCTAAACACCGGCTTCCTGTACCCGTACTTCCCGTACGCAACCAACCAACCCACGTATGCTAGTTACCAAACACACGGTGTCGGAAACGCCTCATTTGCTCAACTGTCGCAAACCGCGGCGATTACTCCGCCACAGAATCCTTGCACACCCCCGGTGAACACAAACCCTGGTGTTGCCCAGTCAAAGCCAGTTGGTTGTTTGCCTCAACAAATGCAATACCACGCCAGGCTCGCATATCTCGTCCAACATGAAGGTACACGTGTGTTTCGTAAGTTCTTCCTACGTGATATCGTCATTCCGAAACTAAAGAGCGTTGGTCAGTACAACTTGGGCGCTTCAGAAAACCAGACGTTGAATGTATTTCTTGCACTCTCCGATATAAAAAATTGTCTCACACTACTAAAGAAGCCAAAGGGAAAAGTTATGTTCCCTCAACAGTATGACCAATTGTATCCATCCAGTGGACAAGCAGATATAAAACGTTTTGATATTTCCCTCTTATTCATTTTAATAAGAAACCTCCACCCCAATGGAAAGAACTTAAGTTGGGTCTTAAAGCCTGGTCAAGCATCCCAAGGAGACATCGACCACATCATCAAGATAAGAGACATCAGAAATAACATCTTTCATGACGGAAAATTCGAGCTGGATGAGGCTAAGTTTGAAGATATGTGGAGAGATGCTTCCGGTGCAATTTTGTCGCTAGGTGGCAAACAAGACAAGATTGATTGGATCAAAATGAACAATTTTAACGAAGAGAAATTTAGACAATTGATCAAAAGCGTCACAGCTTCAGACCAGATTCTTCAAAAACTGGATGAAATATTAATGTTTCTTCGATCACACGGCTTGGGATATAACGGGCAATGACAACATTAACGGTTGAAATTCCGTGTGCACGAGAATGGCACAAATTTATAAAAGCTATTGTAATAATGGCTGCATGACAATCGGGTTTTCCGAACGTGCATTTTGTGTATGCATTGAAGACATACATCGCTGCATACATATGCATATAATTACTTTAATTGATTTAAATGTTTGGGCTCAAAGTAAGGTAATGTAAATAGAAATCGCGATTTACCAACATTGTATAATGATAATAAAAAATGGGTATTAAGTAACGTGTAATATTTGAACGTATTTGAATGCCATATGATATTACCCTCTACCAGGGCCACAGATTGGTTTTTTCACTAGATATTCGCAGTTGTATCTCTGGTTAATTCAAGTGTACTTGAATTATCCGCGGCAGAGGGTATTAATATATCAATATGTTGTGAAAGATGTATGCTGCTTTACATCATGATTTTGAACATGTATTAGTACAAATTAACTGGAGCTTTTGCGTTTAAGAAGTGGTGTATTTCTCTTCTCCGATACATTTAAAGACAGGAGATAAATGTCCACTTCCATAGTGCCGGTTGTGTCCTATGAAGCTGGTGTCAAGTTTTACTTCTGTTTATTTAAAAAAATTGAGTAGAATTCAGTAATGGATAATCATGATGGGGATTTGTCCAATTAAGTACTGGTCATTATTTAAGTTGGATAGGGAGGGGGAGTGGAGGAGAAAATGAGAAGTCCTGACCTTTTCAAGCAAAAGTAAGGGTAGGGTCTTTTAAAAAAGCTATTTTGGTAACTTTTATTAATTCAATTTGTTTTCATGCTTCAAAGTAGTTTTCCTTAAATTTCTATTAGAATTTGCAATAATAATGATGTGTTTTTACCGTCTCATATTTACATTTCAATGATTTTTTTTGTAAAACCATTCAATTTTTACATGTGATTTTTATTAAAGTACCCGCATGAGTGCAGCGTTTTGACATAGGCCTACTTTTTAAGCCATAGTGAACAATATAATTTTTTTACACGTTTTTTATTGAGGGGGCTGACTTTTTCAATCAATCTGGAAGGGGGGTCCCGAAAAAAAATGAATGCTATAAGGGGGTCTCAAAATTTTTATCACAGGCATTTTCTCCTCCACCCCACCCTTTTCCTACTTAAATAATGACCTAACCCTTAGGGATTGGGTCAAGCACGGAATTAAACTATACCTTAATTGTTTGCAAGATGTTTCAGTATGATGTGAAGAAAGGAGGGCAAAGGGTTAACTGTCGAGATGTCAAGACAGTGAATGATTGCGTTTGTACTTATCCTTACTGTGGGAGAGCTTGTAAATCAAAAATAGATATTTATGGCCATTAGAGATCATGCCGATGAAGAGAAATCGCAACATGGTACCCTTTTCCAGAAACTTTGGACCGAGCATAAGGCCATTATAGCCAAATATTCCTTGTGTAGTGCGCTTGTACTTGTAACAAAGTGCACATGTGAGATGATAGCTTGTTGAGCTCTACAAACAGCAATGTATGAGCGGTTGTTACTAAAGTATATATATATGACATTATATATCTTAATATGTTACTTGGGTTTTTAATTGATTGGCCTAGCAAACAGTGTTTTGGCACTTTGTAATTTTACTGTTTAATAGTGTTTTTGATTAAGAATTAAATTGCTAAAACAAGTGAAATTTAAAAGGCATTTTTTTGGTTAAAAAGACACTAATTTTTTTATGTCTTTTAAATGACACAAACACTAAAGACACTATTTTTTCAGTGTCTTTTAAATAATGATATATCGTAATACATTTCCTTCGAAATATAAGTGTGGAGAATAAATTGTCGAAAAGCATTTTTTCTGCATATCTCTTTATAGGCATCGATCTATATTAATTCTTACTATTGACTTTAGAGGCACTTCGGAAAGTATATTACATAACGCAAGGTATTACCACGGTCTAGTACTGTTGAATATTCAACGTCAAAAATAGAAAAAAATTATACATGATGAAAATAATAATTATTATACTTTACAAGGGCACGCTTCAAGAGTGATTAGAATACATCCAATACAAAATAATTCTTGCGACGGAAAGAACTATTTATTTATGAACATGCAGGCAGAGCGCGTCTTTTGACACGTGCGTATTGCTATCACCTGCACCCGTTGTCGTTATCTATTTTACCTAAAAAAATGTAGAGTTGAATAGAGTACCGAGGTAGGCCCTAAATAAATGAGTACAATTAAATACAGTATACTTGTAATAATACGTGGCGCAGGTGATACAGTGATACAGGTGGTAATTAATGTATTTGTTCAACAAAACGAGATTCCATTCTCACTATATTTGCCCAAATCAATGCCTCCCGAGAAGTCACGTGAATTTAATAAATATGTCGTCACCTAACATTTGTCAAATGTTTGTCTCGCAGGTGAACTGGGGGATTTTTCACATCACAATAGCGCATGCGCGTGTCTTAAAATAGTGCATCTGGAATTTTCCAATTCTGTAAGACAACTGTGTTACTGCTTTGTGAAAGGAAGTAAAACTGCTTTCAAAGAAAGCTGGGTTTACTGAGAGGGGAGAGGTAAATGCCAGTGCCATGGCTTATGCAGGTTTGTGTTTATCTGATTTTTGACATATCACCGTTATTGTATACGTAGTAAAGTGAAATGATGGGAGTTTCACCAGGGGAGTAGATTTGCCAAAAAGGTCAGTCTCGTGACAAATATGCTAATGCATAGCTGTGCGTGTGTGAAGTGTAAGCACACATTAACACTTGTACATACTGCCTTTTCAGTGGTGTTTGTTAATGCTACATGACTCGTTTGTTTACACATCTCTATTTTAGGAATCAGAAGACAATTAGGCCTACTGTTAAACAAAAATTTGAGTGAGAGCTTTAACCACTTCCGGCCTCGTTAGTGATAATGATCATCAAAATGTCACGGAAAAAAAGTAATTTTTCACATTCCATTTGATTCTAAAAATTCGTATTTTATCGCGTAATTAATTATATGTAATGAGCATCCTAACAAAATATAGCTTATAACAACACAAGCTCGATTGATTCCGGTGTAACATAACAGAGAGACCCCCATAATAGATCTCGAGAGTCCGCTTTCCATTCACTTGTGCATGTGAGCCTCGCCTTAGTTTCTGACCCACTTATCTCGGACTGACCCTAAACATTACAAATATATGAAGGGCGGACTTTCTGTTACACGGAGTCGGGACCCTCAGTTTCGTTACACCTGCCCATCTGGCCTACACTCAGACGCGGTACAGTGAATCGACAGCAAGTTCATGATGTCACCTGCTCGTACATGTAGTTCTACACAAGCGTTATTTTATCATCCTCATTTTGTTGTGGCCATTTACTAGTATTCATCACCGTTCATGAAAATTCAGTCAGTGTGGTGTGCAACAGGGCCCCTCGAACCCTGTTTGTCCGCCACTGGCATGCACACCGTTTCTAAAACAAACAAATAGAGTGAGGGTGTTTCACGGTCAAGCGTTAATACATGCACAACATGCATCTAGTTACTGATACATCGAGGTGCCGCATCCAGGAATGGGGTCTTTATCGCGATTGTGGATATTCAAGCAAGACAAGGTGCGAACAAGTGCGTTCTTTTTCTGATTGGATCTAATTATTTGTGAGTTTGATCAAACGTTGTCACCTTGCAGTAAACCATTATGGGATTCAAGTGGTTTGCATATTTTTTTTCAGACAGGTTGATTTAAAATGCATAGATCTATAATCAAGCATTGGTATTATCAGACGTGAAAAGTAAAATTAAATGGAATCTGTTATTGATGGAAGAAAACTTGAAATTAAGCTTTTTAAAGCTTTTTTTTAATATTCAATTCATTAAAATGGTGTATGTGGCCTTTTTAGCATCAAGGTGTAATATACAGACCCATTTACACAAAAGAAGCTACAGGTTTGAAAGTGCCACCACACAGAAACTGATTCCTGGCTTAATGGGCTTTCACATAAATTGAAACCAAATCATCTAAATCATTGCTTGAGTAAGGATATGGTATTTGGTTAATAACTTGTAAACATGATATATAGTTTAATGCTTATGAACAAAATTTGGAGCCTCACCTGTCTTATTTTAAAAAAAAATTACGTGAAAAAATGTGAACCTCGAGGCCATCACAGTAAAATACGCCCTCTTTAAAAGTGGAGATTGGAGAGAGAAAGTGCGTTCTTTAAGTTATAGAAACACTTTCGAGCTGTAACTGTTGCCGACACGGCAGAAATTATATACGTTATCATTTTTATTTTATATTTTCCACGCTGTTCTTATGTTTATTTATAATGTGTTAGAGAAGACACTAGAACACTGCTCAATATTAAGTAACATCTATTCATCTAGTCATGTGATGAACTGTATAAAAGCCGATGTTGCATGTACTCTGTGCGGCAGAGTGGAGGTATGTTACGATATTACNGTTTTTCTGGGGACAATTGGTGCTTATGTGACCCATTTCATGGCAATTATAGCACCTGGTGATGCCCCTAGGGGATGTACCAAACTGAGTGTCATTGCCCTTTTGTGTTTGGTTTACGGACTGACGGAATAACTGAATCAATTCTAACAACGATGATTCAATGTTTTGCAACCTCTGTTCTGTATCAATGGACTGAAATGATTTTGTCCGATTAAGACTCAAGCTACGAGATGAAAACTGAACGCGACTCACATTTGGTGGATTTTGATGCTCATTATAACCTGTACATGGAGACTGGGGTTCTTTAAAAGTAACTTTGCGCACTTGCTTATTACAATTTTCATTGCGTAACCCCAAAATTTGCATATTTGCTCCACACGTACGGGCATTTTCGACCGCCTCTTCTAATGTTCTAGGTTTCATGCACATCACTTTTCCCACTAGGTTTCATGCACATCACTTTTCCCACTAAATCTTTATCTGAACACCCACGTAAAAACGATTCAGTAACCATTTGATTGAATAGGCCAGTACCACGGTAGGCAGACAACGCTAATATTCTCACACGTGAGCCAAATTCTTCATAGCTTTCATTTTCTTTTTGTTTTACAGCGGCCAGTTCTGTTCGCGCCAATGATGAATTTTCAGTTTTTCCGAAACATTTCATAAGGGTATCTACAACACTGTGCAGGTGCATTCTTTCGTTAGGAGGTAGTTTTACAAACTTGTCGAGGGCTTGATCATGATTTCATAGATTTCTTTGACTCCCCATCCCTTGCTCTCAGCAACGCAACATAATTTTACGTAATATGAATAGAAGTTAGTACTTCCATCATATGATTGAAAACGGGTGGGCGGCCGGGGGCAGGTAATGTGTGACCCATTGTATATGGGAAATGACCTACCTGTTGGAGGTGGTTGTCGGTTTTCGTCAGTATACAGGGGAGTGTCCACTGGCCGCGATCTTTGCGTGGGAGTGAATCTGGGTACATCCTCACAGTATTGTCGGTGTGGCCCTGTCGGATCAGAATTCTGACGTCCATAACGGCACGCTAGCACGGTTGGGTCACTGACAACTGGCTGCACCGGGTCTGGTACAAAATCAGCATTTGAACTTATTCGCTCAGCTAAACCATGAGTTGAAGACTCTGTTGAAGTATCAGAGACAGGTGGAGCATCGGCATCATGAGGATTATTTATCTCAATGTGTCCTTGCTGAGCATGAGTCAAGGGTGCAGCTGAATTTTCCAATAAGGATGGATTGTCACTTCTCATATATGAGATAAATTCTGTTTGAAATTTCTGCAGTCCTTCTGTCATTTTATAAACATTTTCACATAGTCCTTCAAATTTTGAGTTTAAGTGTCTAATTTCGTTTTCCATTCGTGTAATCCGTGTTTCCTCACAAATATTGTCAATTTCATTTGAGCATAGAGGCTCCATGTTGTTTAAAATCGTAAAATTATCATTCAACGTTGTTGCCGACACGGCAGAAATTATATACGTTATCATTTTTATTTTATATTTTCCACGCTGTTCTTATGTTTATTTATATTGTGTTAGAGAAGACACTAGAACACTGCTCAATATTAAGTAACATCTATTCATCTAGTCATGTGATGAACTGTATAAAAGCCGATGTTGCATGTACTCTGCGCGGTCATTTATATACTTACTGGCAGAGTGGAGGTATGTTACGATATTACGTGTAGATTGTGTAAAATTCGTGTTAAATAAAGTGTAATTCACTTATATAGAGATATTTTGTGTAGTTTACAAAAGTTTACATAAGTTTACTTAAGTTTAATCAGTAACATAAGTTATGAGCATCGTGTTTATTAAAGTTTATGTTAGTATGGGAGTGGCATTTTCATGACCAACACGCACATGTATATTTATGTTATCAAATAAATTTACAGTACCAGCTCAGATTTCTATGGCCGTATCTGAGCAGCCAGTTACTAGCGGAGAAAGCGAGTCTGGATATTGTTCTAGTGTGAGTGTTTTAAAATTAAATAAATAATAAGAGAAAACTTACATGCTTGTAAAGATCAATTATTTGTTGTTAAGATCTCATGAATTAAGTTTACTATATTTAGTTTATTTATCTCATTATTTTACTGTTTTGTTATTATTATTTTTTCTTTTTCTTTTCTTTTTATAGTTTTCACCAGTTTTGTCCAGTTTCTGTTCAGTTTCTGTTCGGATTCTGTTCAGTTCTGTTCACTGCGTGAATAAACGGCAGTATTATCCAATGGTGTTGCTTCATTTACTCGTGGTCCGCTACAGTGAAAAACTAGAACAACCCAAGGCTGGGTTATATTGGAGGGTTCTCTAGAGGGAAACTTGCCATCCCGAGGTTGGGATACACCGGAGAACTCGACAAGTGCTAATCTTGTTTCCCCGAGGGTACACGCTGTTTCACCGTCACACTAGACCATGACTGACACAGGAGAGGAAAAGCCTGNCTACAGCATCTAAGATTAAAAATTAAACCTATTAAAATATCTTTAAGCATACTTAAATACTACTTTATATTAATAAATTGCCATTCACTCAAAAACTTAAGCACAAGTCATCTATATGCTGTATGAAAAGACATATTTTACTTAATAAAAATATTGATAATTTGTTTACCTATATCTCCCTGTCATACAATGACACTATCACTATCAGGAGTATTAACAAATTAAGCTCTATTCATTCTATCAGTATCAGTTAAGCATCTTTTGTATATTCAATTCAAGAAGTTAAATTGTACCCTTTAATATATACTAATTGTCATTGACCAACGATATTAACTCTTATAATACTCATTTTTCATTTCATTGGATATTTTGTAATCCCTGTTGAAAACAAAAACAAAAAATATAATAATAATAATAATAATAATAATAATAATAATAATAATAATAATAATAATAATAATAAATAATTTACAAGTATATGTACTTTATACATATGTATGCATACGTGCAAAAAGTAATATGAAAAAAAAACAAAACATGCTTGTTAATACACTTATTAGTTCATTAAGTTCTCTTTAATCTGAATAATAAACTTTTAATTAATTATCTATTTGATTGCAGTTGTAACCATTGCTAAAATATGGAACAAACAAACAAAATTCCTCAGTGAATCAGCTTTGAACCCTATAAACTTTAACATAGTCAGACCATCATATATAAATACCTAGTCTTCCACCCTGCTATCACTGCTGTCCTACACACTGACTATACCTTATGTTCTAGTTCCTACATCTAACACATCATATACAAATAGCTAGTCTTCCACCCTGCTATCACTGCTGTCCTACACACTGACTATACCTTATGTTCTGGTTCCTACATGTACAACCTATCCTCAATGTTACGTTTTCCTTTTATAAGAAACTAGAGGATCAGAAAATAGTAACTTTATCTAAAATGTAAACAACATGTTAGAGCCACCATATATAAATACATAGTCTTCCACTGTGATATCAGAGCTGTCCTACATCTACAACCTATCCTCATTATCAGTGATAACACATTTACAAACATCAGCTGTTTAATATATTTTAATCATTATTCAATGTGATCATCATAGTTACTGTAAGTACTGGAATGTCTTAACTTTGCCATGTTCCTCTGCCACCACCAGCTGGCCAGCAGGGTTGATGGCTAATGCTGTCGGACACTCCAACCCATCATCCTGAGTGGCAATGTATCTGATACACTCTTCTTGTGCATCCAGTGCCACTATTCTGTGGTTATTACAGTCAGCAATGAAGATGTGACCATAGATGTCTGTGCACACTCCACAAGGTCCATCCAACTCACCATCACCACTGCCTCGTGTGCCGCCATACTCGTACAGCTGATTAGCACTACAGTCATATTTATCATTCAGCTGATGAAAAGATGACAACATATATATACAGTGGTGGTCTTTGTTTGATATCACAATGTTATCATTCACACTGTTCACTATGATGTACATTTTGCAATTGTCACTGATGTACTCTGGGTTTCTACGCGCTGTTGTTTGCATTGGGGCTTTACATTTTTTGAGTGGAATAGTGTCCAGGAACTGTTCACTGTCTGCATGGAATATGAGGATGGATCTGCCATCACAAACCATCACATGACCTTGTCTGTTCAGTGTGATACCGAGTGGACGACTCTTCCGTCTGTTCAATGTAGTCAGATTACGCTGATCCTGACCCATGGTTGTCACCTGCTGACCTCTGGTAGTGTACACTTGGACACAGCGGTCACCCCATGATGTTATATACAGAAGGCCAGTCTGTGACACAGCCACATCAAATGGACGTTTTATTTTAATGTCAAACTTAAATTGACCATCATTTGTGAATACTTTTGTTCTGTCATTCCCTCTCATTTCGTCACGACTATATGAATCCACAACGTATGTATATTGCTCATCGACGGCCAATCCAGTTATGCACACTCTACCTTTGTCATCTTTCAGCTTAGCACTGAATGAATGCACACACTTTGCCGTCGGTAAGAAAACTGGAGTATGCAGCGCTAATCTTGGATTTGTTTTCTGGCCAGCTAATGGAGGTTGTGACTGTACCGTCACCTGTCCTAACATAGATTCAAGTCCAGGAGATTGTGGCGCTGATCTTGGATATGTTCTCTGTCGAGCTAATTGTTGCCGTGTCTGTATTGTCACCTGCCCTAACATGGCTTCCAGTCCGGCAGCAGATATCTCACCAGGACTGTAGGATATCTGTGCTGCTGTACCTGGAAGAGGTGTTTTCCACATCGCTTCAAGTCTTTTTATCAGAGATTTTGCATGAACCATGATATCAGAGTCAGTGCCATTAGTGATAAGTTGCTGGGCAAAGTCACAGGCGCTTTGCAAGGAGGCATGGTGGAATTCAAGGATTTCCTCCCTCTGCTTTTGCTTGTTGTCGTAAGCAGAATTCACGTCGGATATCAACGTCTCTTCCCTCTGATGAATTAATCTGCACATTATCTGAGCTTGCTTTTGGATGCATTTGATAGTGGCTGCCCTGGTTTGAGAGTCCCTTGGTCCAGTGGCTGCTTCCAAGGCAACTGCCTCTTTAAACATGTTTGTTGTTTTCGTGGTTTTCATAAGGGCAGCTTTGATTTTGTCTCTGCTAATTTTAGCAACTTGTTCAACTGATGAAATACGATGTCCACTATGTTCTGTTACTATACACTTGCCACATATAACAGTGTCATCATCTTCACAGTAATATTTTAATTCCTTATTAGGATGTTTCTCACAACTGATTCTCATCTGTGCAATGGCCTGTGTCACATCATGCACATCGGTTTCTTTGTTTGGAGATGAGACTTCATGCTGCTGTCTCTGACTCAGAAGCTCCTTCGTTGTGTGAACACGGAAATCTTTTTTCAGTTTCACGAGTCCTTCTCTTGGTAATTTTATCTCTTCTCTACAAAGGGGGCACTGAAATGTCTTGTCCACAGATACAGTTTTCGAAGCATGGTCAGATATACAACCAAAGCAAAATGTATGGTAGCAAGACAGCACACGGGGGTCCTCATACTCTCCCAAACAGATGCAACATGTCAAGATTTTTTCTTTAATATCTGCTGCTAGTGCTTCTGCCATGTCTGGCTGCTTCTATGTTAGTGTACGCGGCGCTAAAAGCTGGCTGTAATGCCACGGATACAGGTTTAGCAAAGATAGTGTCAGTGATTCCCGATTTTATCTACTTCCTGGTTCAGCAGTTTTGATGAACAAACATCACAGTCGCATAAACACAGTGTTTTAATAAAATAAACTCAGTGCACCTTTTCAGCAGCGTAATGTCTTAAATCAGTTTTTCTGGCAAATGTTTTAAATACCTGAAATATCCGTTTTGTTCCTTCCTTTCCCGCTTGTAAATGCTCACAGGTAGACAGAAAATGGCGTCTCTTTATTACTTGCATTTGAATGTGGCCTTATCTTTATGTCCTATTTAAAACACACGCAGATGGAGTCAGTTACGCTACGTCAATTCGTTCAAGGAACTTATGTCTCGTTTCATTTTATTGAACGATTTAAATTCAGATCAGTTAATTTCAGGTCTTGATGCAGAGCAGAGGTGCGTTACTGAGCATGGAGTGGGATTAACCAACGAATGTTCGGAAGGAACTGTTTAATGTACAATGATGCAACTGAACAAACATCCTACCCCACCTGACGTTATCTGTTTCACAGATAAACAGCTGCACGCTCTCAATGAGCATCTGGACATGCACAGGGAGATAGTTCAACTGATTTAGCAAAGGTGGGCTCCGGTTACTAACAGGATCGACCTGACACAATTCCCATGAGCCCAGTTTTGTTCATTTTTGTGAAAGAATCAGCGTGCCTCCAGTACCAGACTGCAATGTGTACTATGTATTATACGTATTGCCAAAATGTACATAGAAAAAAGTGTCACCTCTACCGCATTTATGTAATTGCTACAAGGGTACCCATAGATTTAATTTTTCTATTACATAACAACTAGAAATAGAACATTAACCTAGCTGCAAATATCACATTTACCCAACAAGCGTAACCAGTGAAATCCTCCAACCCAATTGCCTTCAATATGAAGTCCCTAAATTTTAACAAACTGATCGACAAAGGAGGGAGTTTTGACGGCCAAATTTCCAAAATATTGGCTTGTTCCGAGGGTTATACAATATCATAACCCAACAGGCACATTAACGAAATTACCTGGGTAAGACCCACCCGATAGAGAGGATCTGATCACGACGTCAAAAACACAAAGTTTCATGAAATTTAATAACTTGACTGCAACATTTAACGAGAATTAGGCAATATTAGGCATATTTCTGCGTTTACAGTCACAAGACATCTGCTCTGTCGCCGTTATTTTGGAAGGGGGCCACTCCGTATAAATAAATAAATAAATAAATAAATAAATAAATAAATAAATTAATTAATTAATTTTTTGTTTGCCGTTTTGGAAGGACAATTGGCATTTAATATGCTGAGAGACCCAGTTTCTGTATGTAAACTCCTCTATATTAGCGTTATATTTAGGCAAAAGCTTAGGATGAAATGAATAGGAACTATAGTTAAAGATAGTATTTGCCTGGATGTGAAAAAGACGTGGACTTTTTACTTTCAACGTCAACACCTAAACTCTGCTCTGTTTTTTAAAATCAAAATGCAGATATTTGATCATTTCACTTTCTTTCACTTTCAAATGTATGTAAAGTGTTTTTGAAAAACAATACGTGAAAAATTTGCACATGTTAGAGTCAAGTAGTCATCTGGGAAAGACGCATACGTAAAGGACATTTAGTCCAATAAATAAAATGTAAATAAGAAAAACCTATTATATTTAATGAGATAAATAAATTAATTAACCAGATGCTGTAAACAGCAGCAGGTGCCTGTTTTTATGTGTGTCCTTTTCAAAAAAAAAAAAAAAAAAAAGAAAAAAAAAAAGGAGTCATAACATGTTCAGGGACATATTCAAAAACTCATTAGCGCAAAATCTGTATAACAAGAAACATTCAAAATCAAATCACTAATACCTAAGATCCACCCTTGTGTTCAATAAATGTCTACTAGTAATAGACATTTAATAGCTAAATAAATCAAATACAGTTTTAATATGTAATTGTGAATATTTAAAGCAGAAAAATCTGTGTACAAATACTATTGTACAACAAGACATCTTAATTCACAATGACAACACAGTCTGCACTCAAGTTACTCAAGGGGTACGTGTCAGACAATTAAGCTGATTACATTGTTAGAAATTTCGCTAGAAGCCCACAGAGTTAGATTGATCCAGCTAGTATTTGGCATAAGTAATTCTATTTTACAACCAGGTATTCAGTGACCCAACCTGGTACAAAGAGCAGCTACCCCAGTATCAGTGTCTTAAGAAGTGAGTTTTTACTAGGTTCAATCTAGTTTAGACCTCGTTCAGCAAACTCTGTATTAAACTACCGTAATAAAAAATGTACTAATTTCATAAACATCTAAATATTCTTAAAATGAACCAATTGCAACATGGCTCTCTTTTTGTCTTGCTGACTGAATGTACATGTACAGGTATATCCATGAACATAGTGATTGATTTATTCAAATAATAATAATAATAATAATAATAATAATAATAATATCACTATTGTTCAACTTTTATTAACATGATGACTTTCACTGGGGACCCATCTCCTCAGTAGGATAATCTTTTGTCTTCATTTGCTTATGAAAAAAAAAAAAAAGGTCATCTTCATCCATTTCTAATGTTATTGATTAATCACGACACCAATAAACTACCGTGTGTTTGCTTGTCATCTCTAAAGTAAATAACATCTAATGGGGCATTTTCAAACAAGTATAGTATAGCTTTAACTTGTAACACATTTTTACAATAGACCCTATTATCTAATGTTATTTGATTGATCGATCAGGAGTCGTACTTGGTCCAATCGTTGGCTTATAACATCGGCCCAAAGTCTGTCTTCATTATCAGTGGTAGTTTTTTATAAACTTTATTATGGTGATATACTAATACAGTTTACCTTTCACTCTGCTATCACAGTTGTCCAGACGACTGACTATACCTTTTGTTGTGGTTCCTGCAACCTATCCTCATTATCAATGGTAATATAATGTTTTTATAAATATCAGTATTGTGATATATTTACATCAGCGAACAACGTGTTGAGTTGAGGTACTGGAATGTCTTTACTTTCCCCATGTCATCTCCCACAACCAGCTGACCAGCAGAGCTGATGGCTAATGCTGTAGGAGTCTTCAACCCATCATCCTTAGTGATAATGTATCTGAGAAACTGTCCATGTGGACTCAATGCCACTACCCTGTGGTTTCCATAATCAGCAATGAAGATGTGGCCATAGCTGTCTGTGCACACTCCCTGTGGTATGTTCAGCTGACCATCACCACGGCCTTTTCTGCCATACTGGTACAGCTGATCACCAGTAGGCGACAGCACATGTATACAGTGATTGCCTGAGTCTGATATCACAACGTTATCATTCACACTGTTCGCTGAGATGTACTCTGGGTATTCACACATACTGAGTGGAATGGTGCTCAGCTGTCCACTGTCTGCATGGAATGTGAAGATAGATTTATTTATTCTGTCACAAACCATCACGTGACCTTGTCTGTTCACTGTAATACCACATGGATCCCTAAATGTACCCTTACCCATGGTTGTGAGGCACTGACCTCCGACAGAGTACATTTTCACACATTTGTCATCCTGTGATGTTATATACAGGTAACCACTCTGTGACACAGCCACATCAAACGCCATGTTCATTTTGATGTCAGACTTGTAGTCTCCAGCATGTGTGAACATTTTTATTCTGCTATTTCCACTGTCAACAACAACAACCTGTTCCTCACGTGTGGCTAGTCCAAGTATTTTTATTTCTGCGTCATCTGCCATCTTAGGACTAAAAGATTGCAAGCATACTGGCTTTTTCAGGAAACTATGTGGTGCTGATCTGGGATTTGGGGTTGGTGATTGGACTGTCAATTGTCCTAACATAGCCTCTATTCCGGCAGCAGATATCTCACCAGGACTGTAGGACATTCGAGTTGTTGTGTCTAGAGTTGGGACAGGTGTTTTCTCCATTGCTGCCAGATTTTCTATCAGAGGTTTTGCGAGAACCATGACATCAGAGTCGGTGCCATTAGTGATAAGTTCCAGGGCAAAGTCACAGGCACTTTGCAAGGAGGCACTTTGGAGTTCAAGGACGTCCTTATTTGCCTCGTTCTGCCTCTTTCTGACATTGTAGGCAGAGTTCATTTCTGATATCAATGTCTCTTCTCTCTTATTAATTAATTTGCGCATACTATCAGCTTGTTTTTTTATTTCTTTGACGGCGTCTGTCTTGATAAAGGTGTCCTCTGTTTCAATGTCTCTTTCCATGGCCACAGCCTCTTTAAACCTGTCTGTCGTTTTCATAGTTTTCATAAGAGCAGCATGGATATTTTCTCTATTGTTTTTCGCAGTTTTTGCAATTGGCACAATACCATGTCTGTAATGATCTGATGATGTACAGTCACCGCACACAACAGTATCATCATCTTCACAGTAATATTTTAATTCACTATTAGGATGTTTCTCACAACTGCTAGTCATCTGTGCAATGACCTGTGTCGTTGCCACTACATTGGCCTGTTCTTTTTCTAATGTCCGTTTTTCTTTTTCCTGGGCTATGATTTCCTTGGTCCTGCAGAAGGAAAAGTTTCTCTGCAGTTGCGTAAGTCCACGAGCTGGAACTCTGATAACCTCTTTGCAAAGAGGACATGGGAATTTCGGTCTTCTAGGGAGATATCTTTGGGCATGTTCAGATATACAATCAAAGCAAAATGTATGGAAGCAAGGCAGCACCCGGGGATCCTTAAACTCTTCCAGACAGATGCTACATGTCAATACATTATCAGTTATAGCTGTCTCCAATGCTTCTGCCATGTCTGACTGTCTCTTTTATTTTAGTGCACAAGGCCTAGAAAGTTGTGATGTTGTTGATATTGGTCTAGAATCAATTAATCAAAATGTTTTAATAATTCTAAATTCCTAATCTACTTCCTGGCCCTGCAGATCTTATTAACAGTGATCACAGTAACACTTACTCAGTACTGTCTAACGGTCTTCTGGTCTACTGTCACGTAAGTTTTTCTGATGGATGTTTCCATGGATGAGTTTTTTTGGGTTTTTTATGGTAAGCCCTAAAATGTGCGTCGTGTTTCTTCCTTTCACTTTAAGAACTGATCAATAATAGACAAATGTATGACGTCTGTTTATACTTGGCGATAACCTGACCTGAACTGAAAAGGAATTTACAGCGTGTGGTGACTAATCATATTGACGTTTATTACACAAAGAAAAGAGCTGATTGATCGTATGGTGTTCACACTTAAGCTCATTTAAGGCTAACTTAACATAACGCCGCTTTATTTAACAACTGACCCCGTGTCATTACAAAAAGTGGATTTTACATGTTTACTTATCATTACAATCTTACACAGCATACGTACCGATGCATTGAGCGTGCAATTTTTTGGACCAACCATGATATTATTCTCTATAATTTCAATGTATTTTTCAAGGAATATAATCCAATATTCCCTTCGTTTGTAAGTTAACGTCACCTGGATGTATAAATCTTCTGTATAATATATAATTTACCTTCCTTTTCTTCTTACTTAGAGGGTTAAGTGCCCTTCGGCTCCATGGTAGCCTTTGTCATACGTGTATCGAACGCACTCTCTTTATCCTGTAATATAACGCCGCTTTATTTAACAGCTGACCCCGTATCATTACAAAAAGTGGATTGGTTGATTTGGGGAGCCATGAACCCGCATGTTAGCTGGGTGATACCATACACTGTATATAAGTTCAACTTAGAGAAACTGACCATGAATATCACGAAGTGGATAGCAAAAAGGGGTTATAATAGTACAGTCCGGGATTTAGTGCTGCCAGTTTGCGCGCCGGTTGCGCGCCAAAACAAAATTGCTCATTATTTTGTCCTTAACTTGTCGGGATCGCCTTTCGAATTCAGGTCGATCCCAGCATACATGTAGAGCCATGTGTGCAGATATATCTGTTTCACTTCGTGCGAAAGACACCTTCACATTTTTAAGTACTTGTAACAATGTGATACGTTCTATGCACAGTACTAGTGTATGTCCCTTATAGGCGACTTATTGCCTTATAGGCAAATACATCGAGGCGAAGCCGAGCTATAAAGTGCACTCGCTGTCGCATACAGTGGCGCAATTATGACGTTACCTGTAAGATGACAAATGTGGTAATGTTAATTAATCTAGTCACTAAACACTGGATATTTATTTATTACCAAAAAGAGTGCAAGAAAGGCAGTAATTAAGTAATTAGTTTTGGGCACAGGGTAACAATATCTATGGTTTGTCCTTTACCAAAGCGCAAGCTATGTGATACTTCTTTTATGGATATATTTTGGTGAAAGTTTCTACATATTTGTATTATTGCGTTATTATTATTATTGCCAGCAACATGTTTTTAACATAGAGCTTGCAATATGCAGTTTAATTGCTTCCTTTCGTTATTGATCTATGTTAAGGTAGAGGGGGGTATTGATAACCGATATTTCTTTAGCTGACCTGCCAAAAGCAGCTACGCACATTTACATTAGTCATCAGGCCGTCAATAATATTCTGTTGTTTTGGTGGCGTGGTTGTACTGTACATGTAGTTAAATTTAGCTCAGGCTCGAAAAATAGAACCGAGCCTGCAGGTATATTATTTTTGTTTTGCTTCGCTTCTGAAATAAAAAATAACAATAATAATAATAAACGAGAGCGCAGACCTCCGCCAATTTAAGATTATTATTGATTGATAATTGATCCAGATCACCACCAAAAATTAATCACTTCTATATTAACCCATTTCTGACCTACACTGAAAATTTCATCAAAATCAGTCCATAACTTTTTGAGTTATGTTGATGATTGATTTTTGATTATTGACTGATTATTGATCCAGATCACCACCCAAAACTAATCACTTCTAAGTTAACCCATTTCTGACCTACCCTGAAAATATCATCAAAATCAGTCAATAATTTTTTTTAGTTATGTTGATGATTGACTTTTGATTATTGATTATTGATTGATTTTTGATACGGATCACCACCAAAAGCTTATCACGTCTAAGTTAATCCATTTCTGACCTACCCTGAAAATTTCATCAAAATCGGTCTGAAACTTTTTAAGTTATCTGGATGAAAGACAGACAAACAACCAAAACAACCAAACAAATAAAATGTTGATTATTGATTGATTATTGATACGGATCACCATCAAAGTGTAGTATTTCATACATAAACCACTTTTTGTGCAAAATATCCGAGGACAAGTAATTTTTTTTATAATATTTTCACATGCTGTGAACTATAGCTGTAAAATCATTAGCACCCCCTCTCCCACCCCCCCTCCCCCCCCCCCCCCTCACACCCCCACCCACACACCCCCCC